CCCTCCCACCTCCTCACCTCAGTGCCCAGGACGTTTCGGATGGTCTTGGCGTAGGTCTCGATGCGGTCGTCCTTCAGCTCCACCAGGGCAGGTGGCCCAACCTGCATGCCCAGGGGGCCACAGGTGCTCTCCATGGTGGCCACCAGGTCCTTGGCCACGTCCTGCAGCCTCTTGGGGTAAACCAGCATCCAGTAATTCATGGGTACCTAAGAGAGAAGAGAGGACAGCTCTTGTCCCGGGGCTGCAGCGTGCAGCTCCCAGCCCCAACTCTGAGAACCATGGACTGGTTTGGGTGGGGAGGGAACTGTCAAGGTTCACCTCATCCAACCCCCCTGCAGGGAGCAGGGACAGCCCCAGCTAGAGCAGGGTGCTCAGAGCTTGGTCCAACCTCCCCTGGGGTGGTTCCAGGGATGGGGCAGCGACCACCTCTCTGGGCAACCTCCAACAGGGGCTCCCCACCCTCAGCCTCCAAACCAGCATCCAAAATTTCATCCTCCTCTCCAGTCTCAATCTCCCTCTTTTAGTTTCAAACCATCCCCCCTTGTCCTGTCCCAACAGGCCCTGCTCAAAAGTCCCTACCCAGCTTTCTGACAGGCCCCTTGAAGCACTGAGGCCACCAGAAGATCTCCCTGGAGCCTTCTCCTCTCCAGGCTGCCCAACCCTACCTCTCTCCACCCCTCTTCATCAGAGGGATGTCCCAGCCCCCAGCGATTCCTGCAGTCTGGAAGTGCTCAGCCACTCCAGGAGGAGGTGGGAAAGGAGCCAAAGTGGCCACGTACCTCTCAACTCCTTCAGTTTAAACCCAGGCTGAAGCACAAAGCCAAGACCAACAAGGTTCTCCCTGGGAGCAGCTCCGACGGGATGGCAGCACCAAGAACACCCAGCCCAGCCCCCCAGCAAGGGGCTGCTGCTGAACTGGGGGGGCTCACCGTCAGGATGGAGGCCTCTCGTGTCACCTCCTTGTTCCAGCACAGGTCCTCAGTGGGGAAGAAGGAGCTGTGCCTCAGGTTGATCCTCTCGGCGGGCAGGATTCGACCCTGGGTCTGAAGGGAGCAGAAATCCCGCGGCAGCGCCAGGGGGAGGGGGGGGGGAAGGCACCAGCTCGACCCCCACCCCCTCCCTGTGTCCCCTACCCTGTGGATATCGGGGTCCAGGCTGAGCCCCCAGCGCATCAGCTCCTGGGAGGCCTCAGGGTGCTCCTGGATCCTCTTCAGGAGGCTGGTGAGGCGCCTGTAGTGCTGCCCAGGGCTCTGCGCCAGCTCCCGCATCACGTCCTGCAGAGGTGGGGGGGACACGTTGGGGAAACCCCCAGCACCCCCCCTGAAAGCAGCCCAGGGCAGCAGAGAGCATCAGATCATGGGAGCATGGAAATGTTCTGGTTGGAATAGAACTTTCAGATCGAGTCTAACCCCCCC